TTAAAGTTTATATAAAAAAATATTTTTAAATATGTAAAATTATATTTTAAATTTATGATAATTAATTTATATTATAAGATAATTTTAATTATTAACAATTTATTTTAAAATATCATAAATTATTTTAAACATGAATATAATTAATATAAATTGAAATAAATAAAAAAGTTAAAAAAATTTCAAAAACCTTTTTTCACTAAGAAAAAATACTTAAAAATGTTATCGTTAAAAATAAATTTCTAATAATATTTTCATGCAAGATAAACGTTTGTATTTAATGTATAAAAGAGTGGATGATGTATTTATCATTTTGTAGCATTCTTGAGTGAGATTATACTCATGTAATCTTTATTAAAAAAAAGTGTCCTCAAATTTGAATTCTAAAAATCTATTTACATATTTTGGGATTTAAGTTTCTAAAAGTGTACTTGGTAATAATATTTATGATAGATAAACTCTTTTTGAAAATATTTTTTTATGTTCCAAGGAAAACTCAAATTAAAATTGTTGCATACAATATTTTATGGGTCAAGTACATATCTATAATAATATAATTTTATATTTATACAATATTTAATAGATAATTTCTTCGATACTCCGTCATATTTAACATGTTTTGGTACAATCAGTTCAATTTATGTCATGTCATATTTTACATTTAAATACTAATATTATCAATTCAAACTCTATTATTATTATTTTTGCAAGTTTATGGAGGGTGACACGAGGAGGTAGAGAATGGAGTGTTTGAAGATGATGAACAATGGACATGAGAATGAGTTGAGCGGTGGGTTAGGGGCCACACTCAGGAATTACCAACAAGAGTTTGAGTGTGACTCGAAAGCGAAGCGTGTGGGATTTGTCAAAAAGGTAGAAGGTGAGAAAATTTTGTGTTTACTTAAATAAAATAAATATATTAAAAAGGTTTACACAACATCATTAATTGACATAAATTTACTTTATTGATCTATGTAAGAGAAGATACTAAAACCATTTAGTTTTTAAAAGTACCATAGTAACTATGTTTAATATTAATATTATGTTTTTCATATTACGACATGGATGACTTGCTAAAACTTATAATATTTGCATCATAAAATGCGTTAATGAATTTTTCTTCTTCAATATATTTCTTTGTAGTGATCTATTTTATTTTATAATAATATATAACACATTATATACTATGGAAAATGAAAAATAAACCATTATTTTTTTTTATGTACATGGTCTACTTGTATCCCAAAATTAAAATAACCATTAGTTTAAGTTGTATTTCTTTTCAATTTTTAGTATTATGTTTTTCTAACAGTGACAAAAATCTTCAAACATTAAGAAAAAAAATAACTTTTGTTTAAAGAATATTTTTTAAGTTATAAAATCCAATATTTTGTTAAAATTTTCTCACACATTATCCTTTAAAATTCATTTATTTAATTTATTTTTTTCTTTCCTTTGTATGGGTCTCAATAAATCTAGTTTGGACATTTTTGTTCAATTTGATGCAAACTTTACAAACATCTAATTGCTCAAAATAGTAAAAATCTTCTTATATCTTTCAATTCTAAATAACTCAAATATGGAATTTTTCCCCAATTTTTATTCTTTAGTTTCTTTTCACTAAATAAGTCATATTTGAGTAATACATTTCTAATGGTGGGGCAAAGTGGATCATTTTTTTATTATCAACAACTAGGTCGATAATGTTTAGTGTGCCTTAAACAATGAGTAGTTATGGAGATTGCTTCGGTCAACAACAACAAACATTATTGACGTTCATGTCAAAGTATCGAGCTCTTCCATTTTTTTTCTAAATTATCTTGGAAAATATTGCAATCAAAAATAATAAAATCTCAAGTTGTCATGCAAAGTTTATAATGAAATATGATATACTAGTCATTTAGTAATGGTTAAATTATAGGGATTGACCATGAGACAAGTGGTCTTTGGTAAAGGATTAAAGACAATTATAATGAACATTGTTATCATTAACGAGAGAGGGAAGTGGTGTACTACAAGATTGGTGACAAAAGATAAATTTTGCAATTCAAAAGTCCTTGAATACTACACACTAACTATTTGAAAGAAGAAAAGCAAAAGCTTTTATGATGATACTGTGAATGATGCATTTATCATTTTTATTAATATGAGGGAGAAATATTCATATTTGAGTATGCATGACATTTATTAAAAAAACAATCTCAAATGGAATTCAAAGTGGGGTGGGTGTTCTTTAAAAAGAACAAAGAAATTTGTTTCAAAGGCATACACCTCATCATCTGCATCGGACATGTCAACAAATTGTGAATTTGACCTAGCATCATCTCTTTTCTAGCATTCAATGGAAAAAATGGCAAAAAGGAAGACTAAAGAAAAACATAAGGAAAAATATTTTGACTTTGCAAAGATTAAGGTAACACAAGAGTCATTGAATCAAAGATTGATAGTTGCAGAAGATTACAAATGTTTTGAGGAGAAAAAGGTAACTTTGTAGGAGTTTGATATTATCATGAAAAAGAAAGACACAACTATGAAGGCAAAGACAAAACTTCACTATCATAACTATTTGTAGGGGTGGAGATACAGGAGTGACATATTCACTCCCACTTTTTTGGAACATTAATTGTGTTCTAATAAAAAATAATAATTTTGCCTCCCTTATAATGTACTATTCGATCAAAAAAATAATAAACTAGTTTCTTCTCTTATATGTTATCTCATATCTTTAGTATCCTTTATTTTTCCACTTTTTTTTTCTTTTTATCATTTTTCTTCTACATTCGTTCAAACTTTCTCTACTCCATTCAGCACTCATTATAATTTTGCCTATATTAGTGCATATGGGTTTACTATTATTGGTTGTTGTTCGTTGGCATTATGGATACCATTCCTAGTTTCCCTTTATTTATTTGACATTTATTACAAGGGATAAAGGTAACAACATAATGTATTTTAATTTTATTATGCATTTATGTTGGTTTAAGAATAAGAGTGATATGTACCACCTATTTTTGTAATTTTATTTACCATTTACTTTTTTATGATGCATTTGAATAGTGTTATTTTAATTTATTTTAACTTGTTTTAATTGTGTTACAAAAAATTCATTTCAATTGTAATTCTATTGACCACCTCTTGATGATTTCTAATTTTTCAACAACAACATGTGAGTTTTCCAAGCATAACTCAAAATGGCACCTGATTTTTTGAAATGAAAAGAAACACAAAGAAAGGAGATTTTTTGAACAACACAAAGAAAGGAAATTTATTTCTATTGTAATTTTATTTACCACCTCTTGATTTCTAATTTTTCAACATGTGAGTTTTCCAAGCAAAACTCAAAATAACACTTGGTTTTTTGAAACGAAAAAGAAACACAAAGAAAAGAGATTAAATATGTGCAATATAATTTTAAAATCATTTTTGCAATTAACACATAGGCATAAGTTTAAAAACATTGTTTCATAAAAAGTGTGAAAGAAAGCGCAAAGAACACACTCGTTGTATAATGGTTTACTCAACTTGAATTTCTTCTAGTTATCTTCAAACTAAAATGGTTTTATTAACCAAGTTTATATAGGGGTATTTTCAATGTGTCTTTTGGCTACACAAATATTAACCCAAGTTTTCTACCCAAGTATTATTTGTTCATGAAGTCTTTTAAGACTTTCAAAACCAACAAAGTTTGTTACAAATAATTAATGCAAAAGATGAAGATATAGAAGTTTAAGCACAATAAATACTAACCTTGCAAAGCAAAGAATATAACTACAAAACTTTTACACACTAGCGTTTAGTGGACAAATAATAATAAGTCAAAATGAGGGAAAAAAACATTTTGGTATAGTTTTTGCATTTAGATTCATTCACTTATTCACTGAGAGCAACTATTCTAGACTTTCATTTTTAGGATCCTTTTAGGTAATTATTGGGATGCTTTATGATTCCAATTTTGACTTTCCACTAAAAGGTTTGGGAAGATGTTCACATTGCAACAATGTAGATTTGTTTCTAAGCATTAGATACTTATCAAAAACGTCCTACCAGTTTTTGATGTTGACACTATTATACTGAACATTTTTTTTGTTTTCTACCCAGAACAATTTTTCCTATCTATAACAATGGTTTTTTTTCCTATTGAAAGAAAATTATAAATATGCAAAATAGGTTGTCAACATAAAATCCATTATAAACATGTAAAAACTGTAAAAATAAAATAAAATAATCCATTAATAACAACCATGTGAGCTAATTATGAAATTTATAAAGTAACTGACCTAATGGTAACATCCAAGTATTGTTGGAATGTATATAAGTCACAAACTTAAAATATACAAAATACATGAAAAAGTTAGAAAGTTAACTTACAACAATCAATCAAATTAATTAAAATCAAGAAGTTATGGGAAAAAAAATTACATCAAGAAATGTGTTGAAA